CACACACACACACACACACACACACACACACACACACACACATACACACACACAAATACACACACACACACACACACACACACACACACACACACACACACAAGTTATTTTATTTTTCTGTATGTATACCACCTTTTGTTATTACTACCTTATAAATGTATCACTGGTACATGGAATTTTGACAGATTTGTTCATTTTATTTTACCTTTTTTTTATATTTTTTATTAACATTTTTTCTCTTGCTGTTTATTGTCATCTGCCTCATACTCCTGGCTCCACTGAAAATCAGCGTTACGAATTAATGTATGTATATCTTCAATTCGTGACTTAAAGCTGAGTGGAGACCATTTTGGTGCATATTACGTTTATTTCATTATGTCTTTTTTAAATATTTTTGTTAAGTTAAAAAATTGTTCTATTTAAATTTTTTGTTTGTTTTAATTTATGTGCCAAACAAACTTATTTCTTTCTTTCTTTCTTTCTACTAGGTGGCGTTGCTGTCAAGATCCAGAAATAATCCGTGCGAAGTCGGGGCGGATCTTTAGTTCACTATGAATCGCACACATTAAGGTTGTACAAACATTTATTGCCTGCTGTAATAAAATCCACAGATTTATTTCACAGATATCCACAGTTTTATTTTTTTGAAAATGTTACTAGGATTTTCTCCTGTGTCGTGGGGATAGTTTACATACATAAATTTCACAAGGACAAACATCCAGATCCGGAACAATTATTTGTGGGTCATACAAATACTTGTTAAGTGCGGGATTCAAACCCGCGGCCCTTAGCGTTGTGACTCATTGCTAAGCAACTGCGCCACAGAGCCGCCACATATTTTCTGTAGTTAAGTTATTTATATACATTTGAATACTGACTATGATAACGAACTTAACAGGAATCACAGTGTCTGTGGGTGTCGTATACGGATATAGAGGGCTATAGAAACAGGAGATGAGCCGCAGCATCCCCCTGATAACAACTCTAAATAAAATAAAAATAGTGGTTGCCAGCCCGCTTGCCAAGCGTGACACTGCATTACGGATTCGTCATGTTGAACACTTACGTAATAATTAAAAATTAAAAATTTTGTACTGCCGACTTCAATATAAGTTATTAAGAATAACTCAAAAACTATTAGTCAGACCTTGACCAAATTTATGTGGGACCACACGAGAAGTACCAGCTTTCAAATATAAAAAGAATCATCGAAATCGGTTCACCCAGTAAAAAGTTATGAGGAAACACACACAAAAAAAAACATACAGTCGAATTGAGTACCGTCTCCTTTTTGGAAGCCGGCAGAAAAGCGCGAGCCACAGTCACGTAACCAACACCGACAGTAAACACGTTTAAAGCAATTTTTTTGATTGAACTATCAGTCACCTAAGCTAGAAGTATCCAGCTCGGTACAGATTGGAGTGCAAATTGACGCTATCGTACATTAACCACTACTATTGTATCGAGACACTCAGTATTATATGTTTGGAATTCCACATAGATCGTCTATGCAAATAATATGAGTTATGCAGACGATATGGGCGCTGAAATGCTTCAGTATATAGTCTTAGAAAATTGTTACATGTCTTCTCATTCACCGCATCACAAGAGTAAAATATATTGTACAAGAAGCAGAATGATTAAATCAGTCATTTAAAAAGCCGACTATGTAAAAAAGTCTACTGAAAAATTTACTTTTATTTCTTATTAAATAAAATAATTTCACATTTTAAATCGGCTAAGACATAGTGTATAGAATAATTATATTTTTTTTCAACCGGCTTAAAAAAAGGTTGAGGTTCTTAATCCAACTGTATTTTTTTCGTGTGTTACATCAGAACTTTTTTCTAGGTGAACCGATTTTGATGTTTCGAATGTAGATGTCTATGGGCCACAGCGGCCACTTATCATCAGGTGGACTGTGTGCTTGCGTGTCTCCATTATTCTATAAAAAAATACCATCTAGAGGCCGTAAGATTTATCTAGAATTTTTATAGTCACCTCTTATGACAGTGACGCAATGACAGTGGCATGGTAAGATCTACCATCCTATTTAATTTCACATTAATTTGAGGAAAGAATAACAAAGCAAATTTATGTTGCAGAAGCGAATGGCAGATTCAGCAAGGGTCGCCTTATACGAAAGTTTATGGACCAAATTGGCGATATATTGAGGATAGACAATTTTTTTAATAACTGACTTTACAGCTCTGGGTTCTAGCCTTTCTGAGCCTAGAAAAAAATTAAATGTACCCTACACAAACGAGCATGTATGTGTAGGTATATGGACGTGAAAGAGGCAAGAGAAGTGTGTCAGGATCGTGCCAAATGGCTATCCGTTCTCTCAATTTACTTCTTTGGGTGACAGACGTGAGTGTTTATGTAATTATATATTTAAATTAGATTTTATAGAGTAGAATAGAATATAATAGTTTCTATTCAATGTAGATTACAAGAATATATGTACACGCCCCTAGCTGCCCCAACAAAGGTTTACGGGACTAGGGTCCATGAGTAATCCCATCGACGAGCAGCAGGGGACGGGGCCCAAAATGTCTATGGATATTTGACCTACACAATAGAGATAAGGCTAGGTAAATAAATAGTACGTACCTGGTTCCGAAGCTAAAACCGCCCCAAGGTTCGGTCAGGCCGTAGGTAGGTGTAGGTGCATGTAAGTGGTGTGTAGTAGTGTTTATATATGTGACCTGACCTAACTGAGGTGATCGGGCAACGGCCTGGTCCCATGCTGCCCCACAATGCTGCATCACTCCAGCAGGAGTGATGCAGCATTGTGGGGCAGCAATTGACAACTTCTTTCTTCATTTCACTATTTCAGTCTATCAACTTTATTGTACATTTAACTAACTTCAAACTTAACTAATTCAACGTTCATCGTAAAATCAAACACGTGACACCCGACACAAGTAACGAACAGTAGTTTAAAGTTCAATATTCAATGTTCCGGTTTCATTTATCACCAAATTACAAATAGGGAACTAACGCGATCTCTTCACGAGTCTCATAGTTCAGCGTTACAAACAACAAACTAAATTCCTTCGTACGATATTAAATACTACGCCCACATTAAGACTCAAAATCCGCCTAGCTGACACGAAAACTAACTACATCGTCAACACACAAAAGGCACTTAACGCGACGGTACAACTAAACATTAGCTTTAACTTTAAATTTAACTTCCAAAAACAAATAACCGGGCCACGCCCTCGAAATGGAATGCGAGAATCGAATTCCAGACCGTATGTTGCTTCGTAATCGCGTGAACGCACTAAAGATAACCAAACTAGAAGCGAAAAACTCCAATAGTAAATTAAACGCGCACAAAGACTCAAATTCTAGACCACAAAACAAAAAAAACGAACTACTTTCCTTTTTTTCTATAAAACTGGACGCGCGAAATCGATGCAGCGGTCACCAAAATACGCTAATAGACCTAACCGCTGCTGTCGAGCTACTGTCTTCGCACTCGCGTTCTGCGCCCGCGCCCTCTGCCGAGCGACGCACACGAGAGTGGGGCGACGGTGACCTTTACAAAGTCAGCGGGCGGACACGAGTGTTGAATGCAAATTTCAAATGGTAATTGTTTGGCCTAAACAATATATATATATATTGGTTTATGATAAAAACATAAATGACTTTCCATTCCGTTTCCGAATGACCGATTTGAAAAAACCTTTGTACCGGGAAGAACCAGCTAGAAACTCAGCATGTCTTTTTTTAAACAATGATTTACACCACAGTATTCCCAACACGAGTATCTTCTGATTACTCACTGAGAAGTCTCAGTATTATGTTGTTAACATGTATACCGAAATAAACGTATTATTTATTATTATTAGGGGTATCTATATAGTTTTCTCATCTGGTTGGGCTGTATAAATATATAATTGTAAATGAAAATGATAAACATACATAAATATCAACAAAATAAAATAAATACATAAAAAATAAATAAAAAACCCAACCAGATGGAAGTAGGGGAGTCCAAACGGCCGAGGGTTAGGGGGAAAGGGAAAGAAACCGGCGGACGATGCGGGTGGTATCGAGGAGCTCCGCCTTCTGCATTTGAGCTTGGAGCGGTCTGTCACGGAGTCCCAGTCACCTCAGATGACCCGAGAGGCTGACTGGGATTAACTCGTTCGCAGAAACGACTACAGGTATAATTTAGGCCGGCAGTCCACCTCACATGTCGGTCACCTCGTGAGCCAGGTCCAGATATTTTGTTCGATTATCTGTTTCGGCTTTCACGAGGTTTTCGTCATATGGATTGGTAATGTCGACCAAAAATATCCTTAACTATGCACGGTCCATCAGCACAATATCAGGCTTATTCGCAAGAATGGTCCTGTCTGTGATGATGGCCCGGTCCCAGTAGAGCCTGGCGCGGTCATTTTCGAGCACGGCTTCCGGCTTGTACTTATAATAAAGCAGTTTCCGCTCCACGAGACCGTATTTCAGAGCGAGCTTCTGGTGTAGAACCCCGGCTACTAGGTTGTTCCTATGCAAGTACTCAGAGTTAGAAAGCGCCGAACAACCGGATATGACATGCCTAACTGATTCACCGGGATGGCGACACGCTCGACAATTGTCGCCGCTTAATAACCTGATTCTGTATTGCACAGACAAAAGTACAAGGTACAAAAGGCAAGTACAGCCTCATTACTGACGATCTCGGATGATGCATCCTGTGGGACGTTATAATAGTGCGGACTTTTCTATCCAGAGCGTTCAGTTTAGCAATTCATAACAAGTGATGTTTAGCAATTCCATAAGATGAGAGCGACTGGAGGCGACTAATTTGAGATCATCCATATAGAAAAGGTAGGTCAGTTTTGTACCTCCTATCCGAAGCTGAAATCCCCACCCGGAACCCTCCAGTAAGGTACTAAGAGGGTTCAAAGAGAGGCAGAACCAGATTAGACTCAAACAATCGCACTGGAAGTTACCCCTTCTTATCCTTATGCGGCTGTCCGCAGCCGTCATCCGCTGCCTAGATGACAAAGAATCGTACTCCACTGCCCCATACACTGCTCGAGGAAGTCTCGAACTGTACAGTTAACCTTGTACAACTCGAAGACCCTCTTAAGCCATGTATGAGGCACCGAATCGAATGTCTTTTTGTAGTCTATCCAGGCGGCGGAGAGGTTCCGACGGTTGTGTTTAACCACCTTGCCAATGACCGCGTCAATGAGGAGTGGTTCCTTGCTTCCACGACCACCACACCTACATCCGTTCTGAGCGCGCGACATCACCTGATTTGAGTTCAGGTGACGAGTGATTCTCGCGCTCAAAATGGATGTTAGTGTCTTGTATATGATAGGTAGACACGTTATGGGGAGGTATTTGCTCGGATCTATGGAATCCCGATCTTTAGGAACCAAATGAGTGATCCCAGTAGGGAAGAGGCTCGGGAGCGACTTTTGGTCGAGAGCCTCTTGAAACTGTCGGGTGAGCACAGCGTGACACACCACTAACCCGTCATGCAGTACGTCGAGTCTCGGACTTTTCCAGTTCGGGGCCCTACGGACCGCCTCAGCTACGTCATCGGGCGTTATGATGACGGGGTCCATAGGCGTAACATTCGCACACTGACTCGCCACAACTTCCGTCCAAGGGCCCTCGCTGTGGTTTACGGGCTCTGACCACAGGCCGCGTGTCGGCTTGATTCGGTGCTGGGCCCGTTCCACGTACCATTAGTCGCTCCAATGATTCATAGAGCCTCTGCTGATCACTCTGGAAGAGACAATTCTGGTTGAACCGTGTCGACCTCTCGGTATATCGCCGAATCCACTTCCCCCAAGCAGCGATTCTCTGCTTTCAGGTCGTCTATGCGCTCCGTCAGTTATTGCGTTATATCCGGCTGGGCAAACTGATATTTGTCCCAGCAAACGCCATCCTGACGGTGCGCACAATTTTCGGTCTGTTATTGCCTGACCTGAAGATTATCAGGCTGCCGATGAGGGCCCTTGCCTTTGCGATACGGTCTTCAATCCTTCTTCTCCAGGCTGGGATGGCGCTACTTTTTCTAGTAGCACGTCCAGCCGTGGGAAGTTTGGCGCCAATAATACGGCAAACTGCCAGTGCGGCGCCAAAAAGAATTGAGTCACTCTCGCAAAGGTCCCGGCTGACTCCCAAATAGGTCACCAGCATTGGGTTGAGAGTCCTCACAACACCCTGATTCCGCTTGCTTAGGGGTATGCGGGGAAGTCGCGGTCGATTTTCGAGAGGCGTACTGCACGTTTCCACATTCGCTTCCTCCAATTTACTCCTCATCTGATCTAGTTCTTGGGTGACCATTCCATAATCGCCTGAATCAACCAAAGCGGGAAGATCCATGGCGGCCTCCACATATGGCTGTTGGTCTATGATCTTGTCTATCTGGTCTATGATCTTGTCTATCTGGTCTATGTGGTTGCTGGTCTGTAGCCTGAGGAGCCGCATCCCCAGCTATAGCTGGTTCATTCGATGAGGGAATAGCCTCACGCTGTAGTCGTTCGAGCTCGGCATCATCAAATATTTTCGAGCGCATGATGTACCGAACTCAGTCTGCCAGGTTTTGCTCTGTGACGGGAACAGACGGCTCCAGCTCAGCAAAAATGCGATGCATCCGAGCCCGATACGCTATTCCTCCAGTTTCCTCCCCCCTCACCCTATAGTACGGCCGCAATGCGTTTATGTTCATATATGTTGTCCAACGCATGCGGCGTACTCCACCAGCGGCGGGTGCCGCTTGCCGAGTCCGAGAGGACCCTGCCGACACCAAGCCGTCTGGTGGGGATGATGGATGCGGGGTGCTGCTAGGTGGTCGTGCAGCACCTCGCGCTCGGCTGGCGGCCCGCATGCTGTCGCGTCCAGCGCCAGCTCCAGACGCGCCCCGGCGACCCCCAGGCAGCGGCCCTATGCGCGTTCTATTTTTATCCATCATCCATAAAAAGGGGCGTCATATACGGGAGACGCCCAGGCCCAGCGGCGTTTACTAGTGTTCCATCGCAGGGGTCCCACCACAATTTCTGCTTAATAATATATAAGGCCTGTATACTTTCTGGTACTTTGTTGTAAAAGCGTATACATCGCCCCATGAAGGAATTACTGACTTTTTGAAAGTAGAGTAACTAGTATTAGAGTAACTTGTGCTTATGCCTAGTATAAATAGATGTATAGTAGTATGTTGTTGCGTTAACAAAACATATTAAATTTAATGTAGCAAGTCGTAGGGGCAGCATGATTGACCAAATGATCAACTGCTAAACCGTTTATGTCAATGAATTCTCATAACACAATATAAAGCGGAAGATGTTAATCCCACTTAAATAAACGTGTGTCATAAAAGATACATTTATGATAGGTGTATGTATATGAAACTTCATTCATGTTGCTTTCTGTCTGCTGTATAGAAAGAAATGCTACGGTGTCTTGAGCACGTACACGCTCGTCGCTTAAAGGTACTCTTAATATGGCCCATTTTCAATATATCGCCAATTTGGTCGATAAACTTTCACCTAGGGCGTCCCTTCCCGACTCTGCCGTTCACCTCTACAACATAAATTTGCTTTGTTACTCTTTCCTCATTCATTCTTTCTACATGGCAAACCACCGAAGCATTCTCTTCTTAATCCTGGTCACGACATCATCTTGCAAGCCACACTCTTGTCTTATCACACAATTTCTCACTCTGTCATTCAGATTCATCCTTAACATACTCCTTAATGATCGCATTTCTACAGCATTTATTCTACTCTCGTGCTTCTTCTGTCACACCCAATTTTCACTACCATACATTAAAGTAGGGACTAACACAGCATTGTGAATTGCCATACGTGCCTTTTTGGACACATTCTGACTTTCCACAATAGAGTGTAGAGCCCCATTCACTCTATTTCCTGTGTTCACTCGTCGTTCTATATCCTTATCATATCTACCATCCCTACTAAATACACATCCCAAATACACAATCTCGTCTACTTGCTTGAACAACTCCCCTTCTTATTTCACATATCGTTTTACTTTCTTCTCTTTCATAAATACCACTTTCGTCTTACTTTCGTTCACTTTCATTCAACAACACACAAAAAACAAATTTTAATAAAAGTAAACGTCAACTTCAAAGGTAGGTCTTCTTTTAGTAAAATAATAAAATACTTTTATATTCTGGAGTCGTTGCTACGACATAGTGACTAATACTACTGTAGTAAGACAATGACATTAGACTTTAGTATGTGAAATAATATTTTAAATTTTATTTTATTGATAATTTTTTTTACGGTTTTGAGTGGACTATAGAATTCAACAATCTTTATTTATTTATTTATTTATTTCATTTATTTATTTATTTGTTTTGCATAATGTGTGTGTTTTACAGTTGTTATAGAAAATATAGTACAACACATTAACATTTACCATTTCTGCTGTACAAAATTATTGAATTTTATAAACATTAAGTATGACATTATGAAATAAAATTACAAAAAAAAATACGTACATTGCATAATAAATAGCAAAAACAAAAAAAAAATGTGACCTAATTAAAAAAAAACATTTACTACTTAATGTCTTCTAAGAAGTTTCATTAAAAAATTCATCACCTATTTTGCTGCCTTTACGGGTGAATTGTTTTCTTCAAGTTTATAAGGGATCATCCCTGAAGTACAAACAATTTAATAAAAAAGAATCATCAAAATCGGTTCACAATTGACGAAGATATCACGTATAAATTTTATATATTTTTACACCATCACTACATGCCGAATCTTTATTTATACTGTGAAGTTTATATAAAATATATAAAATACTTTAAAGATGTTAAAAATTAGTAGCTAAGATCTTAGTTAATTAATTTTCAACATCTTTTATATCAACGATTTCTGCAAGCTAACGCTTGATTCTATTAACAATATGTATATATAAAATTGTAAAATTAGCCTTGTATTGTTAAAAACTATAAAATTTCGTCAATCTTTCATCGATTTAAAAACCCAAATTTCTTAGTAAAAATAACTACGATTGACAGGTTTCTATCCGAACAGAAATCGTTCGGCTCTTTTTCTGTTGCTGGTGTGTGTTCCAAGTTTTGTCAACAATTTATATATGCAGGGAATATTGCATATATGAATTCGTGACAAAACTTGGGTAGAGTCTAATTTAAAACTGCTTCTCTTGTATTTTTGGTAGATTCTATTACTTTTATCGTCGAAAATATTAAATATTAATAGTAAAAATGTTAAAATCTCCTGAAACACAATAAAAAGACCGCACAAGTTTATGTTTTAAGTTACATAATGCGGTAAATGAACCAAATTCTATTGGAAATACAAAGATGGCGCATGCAGTTTCAAATTAGACAATTTCCATTAATTAAGTCATATCGAATTATCATAACCAATTTATATATGCAAGGGATAAACAGAGAAAGGAAAATAGGGCCCCTACCTTGCCGTATCAGACCAATTAATTAATTATTTACTGCCTTGTACGCTCTATACGTCTTCTAACATACTAACATGTCTTCTGTCCACACTAATTTTTTATTGAACAATGGTGGAAGCTTTTGTGCCCCATTTACACTGTGCAAGTTTTTTAGAAATGGTAATAATTAAACATGTGGTTGAGTCCACCTGATTATATACATATTGTATAAGAAGTGATAAGTGGATGTGGGCTATGGACATCTACATCTGTTCTCGATTTTAATGAATTACCTCGTTTCCAGTAACAAGGCTTGTAATTCTGCTACTTTAAACGGGCATTCTGTGAAAGAGTGGACTTTCTCCGATCGAGCCAACCCATTAGTGCTACAACAGCAGTGTGGCTCTACCACATAAAAAAAAGAAATCTTTATTACAACATCTATTCGTTTACATTAAGAGTGAACAGAGACTACGGAAAGAATCGCTTGTAAGGTTTTTTTTTTTATAAAATAACGGTGACAAAGGAGCACATAGTCCACTTGATGGTAAGTGGATGCTGTGAACCCATAGAATCTACATTTATCATCGATTAGGACTCAAAATGCAGATGCGTTATCATCTTTGAGGACTAAGATGGATTCTTTCGTTTCCAGTAAAAAGGTTCTCCGGTTCTCTACACTCACCATATGAAACGCAGTAGCATTGAACTGCTATTATACGCTAGTATTCTGTGAGAGCGTGGTCCTTCCCTGCTCAAGCCGCCCCATCGTGGTACAACCATAATATAACTGCAGCGTGACTCTACCTCGTGTAAAAAGTTTAAGCCGACCGAAGGCTTCAGCCGACTCCAAAAAAAGTAGAGATGCTCGACATTACGATACGATACTATATTACGTGTATCGTCCCGTAGGTGTCGTAAGAGTCGATAGAGGGGAAAGAAACAGTAGATAGGCAGTAGCATTTTGCTGATAGTAACTCTAAAAATTAAAAATCTACGGTTGCTAAATCGCCTGATAAATTTGGAGACTGGCAAATATACCTCCTATGAGATCTTATGGAAGAGGCCTCTTTTCAACAGTGAATTTTTGATAGGCTGTAATAAAAGAACGAATGAATGAATTCTTTTGTTAAAAACAATATCACTGACACTTTGCAACTTTTACACT